TGTTATAATTGTTCTATTTTATTGTTAGTTACTGTTGTAAATCCCTTACTGTTCCTAATTTATAAACTTTAACTTAGTTATGTGTATCTAGGAAAGAAACATAGTATAAAAAGTGTTCTCTATTACCTGGGGTTTCAAGCTTTCAGTGAGGGTCTTGGGATGTGTCCTGGGCCATGAGGGGGGACTACTGTACTCCTCCATGTAGATTTCACAGTTGGTAACACTTTTATATTTTTGCTTCTTATTTTAATCTTTGCCCGAGGATATGGGGTTTTTATTGTTGTTGCTGTTGCTTTACTGGTTTCTTTAGAGAGAGAGAGAGGAGTGGGGGGAAGAGCATGAGAAAGAAACATCAATGTGAAAGAGAAACATCAATCGGTTGCCTCCCGTATTTGCCCTGACTGGAGATTGAACCCATAGCCTAGGTATGTGCCATGGCTGGGAATCAAGTCCCCCTCCTTTTGGTGTATGGGGTGATGCTCCAACCAACTGAGACATCCAGACAGAGTGTTTATGTTTATGTTTATGTATATGTATTTTTCGTCTGCTTTTTTTTGGCCTTTGTACTTTAAAGAAAATTACAGTGATCATGACATTTTGCCCTGGTATAGTTCAGTACATATCTCTTAAAAAGGATATGTTTCTATGCAAGAACAGAACTATTTAATAATAAAATTAAAAATTACTCCTAAATTAACCCAATATTCACAATTATCCCAGTTGTTTGAAAGATAATTTTACAACTGATTGCTTCAACCCAAGATACAATCAAGTGGCAAGCGTTTCTTTTGGTTGTTAGGTTTCTGTGTTACAGTCTCTTAATCTGAAACAACTTCCATTTCCTTTTCCCCAATCACAGTGAGTCCCTGAGAAGTCAAGGTCAGTTTTCATAGAATGTCCTGCCTTTTGGATTGTTATCTTTCCTCGAGGTGTCACTTAACTTATTTTTACATCTTCTTTTTCTTATAAAGTGCAAATCAGTTCTGAGGCCTTAATTGAATTAAGATTAAACATTTCCGTCAAGACTTCATGTACTTCCTACTGCATAATATGACATATAATATCATCATTGGTTACGCTAAAAATGGTTAAGGTGGTCATGACAAGATTTCTGTTATAAAATTATTTTAATTCTCTTGCTTCCAGAAGGTAACCTAGAGAGATTTTTGGCATCATTTAAAATCAAGATTTCTATTAAACTTTTGACATAGTTTTATGATCCATTAAAGATGTAAAATGGGACTTTGTAATTGCCTTTTTGTCCCTACTTATACCAGCTAGAATTCTTATATAAAGGAAATTTCTCCATCAACAGAAGTAATTTTGTTTATCTTGAAATGTTGTTCCTACAAGATAAACGTTTAACTCTTTTCCTATACTAGTTTTCATGAAAGAAATTAGGGTAGAAACTACCTCCAATGAGAACAAATGTTATTTTGGAGCCAGAGGAAAGAGCAGGCTTTTCCCCTTTTTTTAATATATGTTTATAATCTCATGGATTTTTATGTATTTGTTTATAATCTCATAAATTTTTATGTATTCAGTGCAACTCAAAGTAGAATTATTATTATTTAAATTTTTTTTGTTGTTGCTCACCTTTACTGAGACCTTAATATCAGAGGTCTGTCTGGAAGGTCCAGCCATTGTTAATATAACAAGAATGGTTTGCACGACTTCGATGTAACCTGGGCAGCCAAGGAGAGAGGACTAGAATGTGCATGTGTGAACAATGACGACTTCACTAAACTAGTCAGTGCGGGTTGTAGATGCTGTTCACTGAGCATCAGAACACTGTGGCCATCACATTTCAAGATGACTGAGCAAGTAGAGCAGTGAATCTGCATCAGATTTTGCGTTCATCTTGAACATTCCTCTGTGGAAACATCAGATGATTCAGAAGGCTTTTGGGAACAATGCAGTGAGTGTAGAGATGCCATGCAACAAAAATGGCCGCAGCTGTGGGCAGCTGGTGATTGGCAACTTCATCACTATGATGCACCCACTCATGCATAATGTCTTGTGAGGTTTTTTGGTTAAACACCACATCACGCAGGTGACCCAGCCCCCCTACAGCTCGGATTTGGTGCCCTGCAACTTCTGGCTTTTCCCAAAACTAAAATCACCTTTGAAAGGAAAGAGATTTCAGACCATCAATGAGATTCAGTAGCTCTTGGCAGCTCGGGGCATCTCTTGGTGATTTCAACAAAGGATTTTGCAGTGTTGAACAATAGAAGAGATGCTGCAAGAACCGTGTGAGGTCCCAAGGTGCCTACTTTGGAGGGGACTGAGGTGTCATTGTCCTATGTACAATGTTCTTGTATCTTGTGTCTTCTTCAGTAAATGCCTTTCTTTCTTAGTACATGGATGCATGCTTTCCGCACAGACCTCGTACACCATTATATGGTCCTTTTCTTTATGTAGTGTCCGTTGGTTTTTTCCTTTGAGCAAAAATTAAGTCAGCTTATTTTAGCCGCCTTCTTGACCACCGTTCCATTTTAATCAATCATATCTTTTTTGATGTTTATCTTTCTTCTCTGTTACTTAACTCTCTTCAGATTTAAGTGGTATCTTTTGACTCTCAACATTCAGCTATGACACATTTACACACCTTTATACTCCCACCTTTTTCCTATCTTCGGTTTCTTCTAAAATTCAGTTAAATTTATTCAGTGCACCCATTGTATGCCCTTTTTTTGTTTGTTAACGTAGAAAATGTTGAACTGCTATGATATTTGTGGGCATGTGTTAATTCTTGTTGGCAAAAAGGTTAATAACCTGCTTTTGCAAGGGGCTTGATCTTTTTGCCTGGGGTGCCAAAGAACTTTGAAGTCCAATAATAGAGCTATGATATATCTGAGATTCGGAGCTGGCATCTGGACAGGTGTCCACCTAGTATCTCTCTCAGTGTGAACACTTTGGTCTTCTTTTATTTCAGGGACATTTTCGTGAATCATAATTTCAATGGTTAGCTCTATTTCATTATTTTGTTTTCCTTTTTCAGTGACCGCTAATGGATGTTTGCCGACTCCTCTTTCACTGACTTTTGTATCTACCACTTTCTCTCTTGTTCTTTTTATATGTTTACTTGTTTCAGTTTTTGCTTGTCTCATAGCTTGCTGTGCTTTTGGACAAGTCTGTTGTCCTTTGTGTATTCTATAATTCAATGCTAAGTCTTCAGTGATTTTCTCTTTATTTTCTTTCTTGTCTTACAAATTCCCATTTCATGTCTTTTTATTGCTTGTTCATTTTTCTTGAGTTTTTGCTTATATTATAGCATTCTTTTTTATTTTTTGTTGCTTATTTTTAATCATGTCAAAATGTTGTATTGCAGTTTTCTTCTGCTCTGTAGAAATTTTCAGGTATCCTGAAATGTTTTAGTGTTTATTTTCTTTCTTTTTTAAATCTTTATTGTATATTTTTTCCATACCATTTAGTCCCCTTACACTCCCCTCGCCCCATAATCTTTATTTTCTGTATTTTCTTCTTGTAGTTTTCAGTGGACGTTGCGGTTTTACTTTTTTTCCTCTCCATATTTGGATCAGCTTTTCTGGAATCGGTTGGAGGCTGGTGATTGTCAGTTCAGGAACCACCTTTTGTTAGCATGAAGAAGGCATTATCTTTATTTTCAGGAGTCTTTTGTTTGTTTGTTTTGTTTGTTTGTTTTCACATTTCTTCTTTCTTGTTTGATCTGATCTTTTTCAACCCCTTCCTTCTCTCTAGTTCTATTTGCTGTCTTCCAAATTGCCTCTGTTTTGGAGAGACGTCCTAAAATACGTTGTACGTCATCCATTGTGTTACTAAGACTTCACTTTTGATTTCGTATCTTTTCTAAGTTTTAGGCCTTCTTTTAGCAGTTCTCAGTTTGGATGGGATCTTTTCCTCCTGGGAAGAAATCCTGTCTGACCTCCTATCGCCACTGAGACCCTCTGACCTCTTGGCACCTCTGTGAAGTTACTGCTGTATTCCCCACACTAGGGTCACCTGGAGCACTTACTCAGCTGACCCCCTTCCTTCTCAAAAATTTGGGTTGATAGCTATCTTCTCTCTTCTACTTGTAGATATTGACTAAGGCTGTGTGTATTCCTCTCCCTGCTCCTGTGTGGGGTTTTTAGAAAGAAGTATGAGAAGTGTCCAGGAGATTCCTCACCCTTAAGGAACTCAGAAACCCAGACTCTCTTAATTTGTTTTTGATCTTGCTTTTTCTGTAGCCAAGAATATGTAGTAATCCAGCTGCTTTCATTGCTAGCCGTGGTGACTATATTTTATCCCATAATGAGTGACTGCTAGAACAACAATCTAATTGGGATAGTTCCAAGCACGTTTGTTTTCTTGAATAGTTGGGTAGACAATGAAGAAAACTTCCAAACCAAGAAAAATATTTCAAACCATCTCTGGGGTCTCCCCTCCTTCTTAAAAACTTATGTTTTATTTTGAAATCTAGAATGTTTTCTTTTTATACTGTTCGATAAAGCAGATATGTAAGCCTAACTCACCTCTTCAGCAATTTTAAAATTTAAATTATTCAGGCTAATTAGTTGTGCTTATGTCATAAGTTGTCACAGGTTGGGTTCTCCAGGAATCAGATTTTTAGATGATGATTAGAATGCAGAATATTTTCTACGGGTGTTCTTGGGATAAAATCTGTGGAAGGGCAATAAGGAAGCTGGATTAGGTATGGGGAGAAGTTGAGTTGCAATGCAATTCCAGTGAAGACTCAGCCGCCACCCTACCAAGGAGCTCTGGAGCCTAGGAGTTCTTAAGCCAAGTGTTTAATAGTTGTTATCTCTGGCTGGGCAGGGTTATATGGACTTTTTTTAGCTTTGTCTTAATACAATAAAGATACTGCTCTTTACACAGAAAACAAATAAAACTTCTGTTTTTGAATAAAAGTACAAGTAACTCTGTGGAAGAAAAAAATTTTTTTTCAGTCACTCTTGGTACTTTGAGTTGTAGTTGTAAAAACTCCAGTACTATTAATGGATTTTATGTTTGCTTTTCAGCTTGGGCAATGGTCGATGGAGGGTCAAATGTGAAAGCCCGCACTTCGTATAATGAGAAGACCCCTCGGATCGTTGTGTCTCGCTCCCATTCAGGAATGGTCAAACAGGTTGCTCTTCAGACTTTTGGAAACCAGACTACAATTATCCTGGCTGGTGGTGCTGGTATGTTCCTACTCCCCTGTGATGCCTGCAAAGTATTCCCATCATGGTCAAGGCTTGTGTTAGGAGAAAGACTTGGCTGCTGCGTGCTAAGGAAGAAACTGGGAGTAGACAGTATCCTTTCAAGAAAGACAGGGTCTCCTGCTTGGCTATGTCTAGGGTGGGATTTCAGTCACATATGCCTTCTTGTTAAGAAACAATCTCCCAGTAGAAACAAGCAAATTCATGGTAGTGATGTCTTTTCCTCTGATACTTCAGAAGCATCTTCCTGTCAGTGGAGTACTGTCCAAATGTTTTTTTATAAAAATATATGATCTGATTTCAAAATAACTGTCCTACTAGTTTAACTCTAGGAATATCAGAGAGAGAGAGAAAGCTCCAAGTGTGTTGCGATGTTTCATATATGGCAGAAGGATGCCAGGAATCATCATAAGTGTCACTCTAATGGCTAATCTTGGATCACTTTTGACACCTGTGAACTTTTCGGCTTGCATGTCTGGGATGAGCCAGAGAGTCGAGTGCCCACCCAGCTAGCTTAAAGTATAGTACGGAACTGTTGTATTGCCCGTATTATAGCTCCAGTGTTAATTGGCTTTTCTGAAAGGCCAGATAGTATGTATTTTAGGCCTTGTGAGCCATATATGGTCTTTGTTTTCTTTTGTTTTGTTTTGCTTTTCTTTTTAAACTACTCTTTCAAAATATAAAAATCATTGACAGCTTGAGGTCAGTATAAACCTGCATTTGGCTCACGGACTGTTTGCCCACCCTTGTTTTGAATACTATTTAATGTCATAAAAGTAATTTAATTCAAATAAACAGCAAATAATGGCCCGGAACATTTGTATTCAAAAGCCTTTCAGCACAGTAATAAGAGGAAACCAATGCTTACTAACTTTTAAGCCTAATAGTTTCAGTTTACAGCCTTTCTTAATCACATATATCTGCCTTTCTTAATATGACTTTATCACTTTCTAATAGCTGTCTGTTAGGTTGGTTAATAACAGTAATGGCCAAAATACTCAGTAGGAATGGGACAAACCAGGTTCTAGATCCAGTTTCTTCTGTGGTTCTTTTATTACTTTATTTTTAAACTCTACCTCATTACAAAGAGGATGTAAGATAGTAGTGTTATTTTGTATTTTATTTCAACTCCAGCCTTACTACATATTCAAGTGAAACCTGTGTGTGTGTTTAGTTTCAGTATAATATTCAGTCGGAAATGATATGTACTGAATGTATTATTTCATAGAAAACAACCACAAAGCAGATGTAAATTTTAAAAGTTATGGACATATATTTGGTTATACTTGAGAATGACATAATAAGTTACTTTACACTATATATTTTTTTCACTGTATATTTAATGCCTGGGCTGTTAACTTAAAAAAAAAAAAAAACACTATTGAAAATAATTCTAGACTTAGCATGTTACAAAGGTGTAGGACAAAGAGTTCCTGCACACCCTGTGCTATTACTTTTAACAACATACCAAAAAGGTAAGCTACTTTCTGTAAATCTTTCCCACAGTGACCTAATTCCTCTGTTTATCTTTCAGGTTATAAAGTTTTAGCACTTTTGGATGTGCCTGATAAGAGTCAAGAAAAAGCTGATCTATATATTCATGTGACATACATCAAAAAGTGGGATATATGTGCTGGCAATGCCATCTTAAAAGCCCTTGGGGGGCATATGACTACCCTGAGTGGTGAAGAAATCAGTTATACTGGTTCTGATGGCATTGAAGGAGGGCTCCTGGCGAGCATCAGAATGAACCACCAAGCTCTAGTCAGAAAACTCCCAGACCTGGAGAAGACGGGACGTTAATAAGCAACGTTGATTATAGATCACAGCTCTCTCGGAGCTGATGTGGTCAGCCTATGGTGGGAGTTCAGATGATCGGTGGAGACTATGCATGGTTAAGGCCATCCCAAAAAGTGTTTATGAAACATCAGAGACTTATTTTCCCTGTACTAGGATGCAACATCAGGGAAGATGGATTGCTTCGTGTCTCAAGTATTGTCTTTATTTTTGAGACTATTTTCGTACAGTTGTCACACACAAGGTATATATATATATGTATATGTATATGTATATATATTTGTGAGTTAAAATCTATAACTGAGTCTACATTGTTATGAGTCACCATTTTCATACATCATGAATCTTCACTGTTAGTACTTTCATGTAAAATTGGGCTGAAGAAAGGATTGATTTCGTATAGATATTTAATATTACTTTATACTTACATCTCATTGAAAATAAAGTAATTTGGGGTTTTTAACCCCTAATTCAGATGGAAAGCACAAGAAGCCACATGTTCGTTAATATGCAACAAATGCTCTCTTTATCTGTTCCTGAATATTTCTTACGGATTAAAACAGAAAAATTTTAAGTTGTTTTTTTCTTTGAAATTTTAATAACAGGTTCACCAGCTAGTAGAGAATATAGATATATAGTAGTTGTGTTGTAATTTCTGTGTGTGTGAGTGTTTTGTTTCTACAATGAACAATAGGTTTGTACCCACAGGTTCCACTTTACTCACATTTTGCTGTTGATTTTCATTTGTCCTATAGACAGTGCATGATTCCATCCTTTCCCTCTTGACCAACATTTTAGCCTTTTACTTGTTAGGTTTGGAGTAAGATTTCAGGGTTGGCATAGCATTTTGGTACATTTTCTCATTAGGGACAAAATATGCTATAAGGCACTACAAAAATATAAAGAATTCTCTTATTAATTGAGCATTATTTGACACTGTATGAATTGCGGTAGATTTCATTATTTTCAAAAGCTTTAAGTACTTTCTAAGAAATTTTCCAGGTCTGTATATAGGAATTCTCTCATTATCAAGAATGAGTTATGGTTGCTGTTACCATTAATAAATGGATCTAACCTAATCAAACTCTCAAAGTAGTAAATTTTGAGATATTTGATAATTGTCCTCCAGATTAAAATAATGAAGGTTAAAGTTAAATTTTCAAGTATTATTTTTCTAGTCAGTATACAGCATCTGGCTGGAAAAACGGTTGTGACATACTCACTGTGTCAGTGTAATTGGGACCTTGCTTTGTGAACTACCGTTGGAATGTCTGATTTCTCCCATTGTGATGTCTGAAAACTTCATGTATGCAGACAGTACCATTATTTCATGTGACTTTGATGTCGTTTTATTCTGTAACACTGATAAGGAGAGGGATTTCTCACATTTTCTTTTCCTCCCTCCCTCCCTCCCTCCTTCCCTCCCTTCCTTCCTTCCTTCCTTCTACCTAAAGCAACTTGCCATTTATTTCCTATCTTGAAGATAAAATTGACCAAAGAATGAACAGCTTCACCTAGTGGGATGTGCATACAATTTTAGGTTTGTGGATAACAGTGTCATTAAAAGCCCTTTAGTTCCTCGTTAGGAAATTGAATTTAGTATGATGCGCATGTTTTCCACTCAATCTCTAGCAACTGGCCATGAATCCAGTAGAGTAGTTGGCCTCAATAGGTAGGCTTTTATTCAGTGGAAATTTATTCAGAATTTTGGTAGTGGGAATACTAGGTATTTAAACAGGACTTAGGAATCCTGAACAGATTATTAAAGACTTCATCTTTTTACTTTGCAATGAGATGAGGGAATCCTCTTTTCTCAGGAGACATAGCAAAAACACATATGCTGTTTCCAGAGTTTTGTAGTATAAAAGCATTTTTGTCATGTAATATGTCAAATTTAGGGAAATAGGACTAGCATAGTAAAAAATTGAAATTCTTTAATTGGAGTTGTTTTTTTTCCTAATATATGGGAGTTTTAGCAAATATGATTGCTTTGGTTTTACTTTTAATTTTATTAATTGCATGTAGATAATGACTTTGTGAAGGATTTGTGTGCAAAACTTAAGATATTGACTGTCACTTAAATGCATTATTTTTATAATTTGGTATAGTCTAGTCACTAATGACTTAAGTGCTTTTATAGAAAGTCTGTTTAAGTATTTTTGTTTCTGAAAGTCAATATTCATTACAGAACTAATATAACTACAAAGAACAGTATTTATATTTATTTATATGAGACATTATTATGCCAGAACATAGCCAAACACCTTTATGAATAAGTGAGGCATGTAATGTCTCCCAGGATTAATAAATTATTTCTAAAATGTAGCAGAATAACTAGAGTTTACTTTCAGTGACTCTCATCTCCCCAACTCCTGGTCTTCCCTTTCCCTCATCTTTGTCCTTATTTAGAGGATCAGTTTCCCTTAAATTGCGTTTTACACATCACATTTAGTAAAAGCAGCAACATCAGTAACCTCAGTAGCCATCAGCTATCCCCGTTCCCTGCCTTTCTTCATTTCTACCTCATTCCCTACCTCCCTAGCCCCTTAATATTCTCATTTTATTTCAACTCTTCTTTCTTAACCAGTATACCCTTCCCCAAACCTTATCCAGGAATTCTTTCACAGATGTATTTCTCTTAAAATTGGCTGCTGAAATCTTACAGTAGAATTGAGACTCCATAGTCAAATTTCCAGTGATCAATCCTGGAGGAATCCTAGTTGACCATTTTCAAACTCCCCGGAAAAGTACAGTAAAATCACTTCAAAACTGCAGTGCTTTATGCTGTCAAATCTAATCCAATGCCCCTGTCTTTACAGTGCAATTCTTCCAACCCATCCTTCAAAGAATAAAAATGCAGGAAATACAAGAGAGTTGGGTATATAAGTCTGTTTGAGAAACTTGCTTTTTCTTTTAGTTTTCATACTTGAATCCTTATTTTAGTTGAGATTACAAGGACCTACAAGGTAGGTCCTATCTATCTGTCCTTGGTATTAAATTGTCCCTTTAACCCCAGTTTTAGGTGGGTTTTTTTTTTTAACAATTAATATTCAAGCAAATTGTTTATAGCTGTATAATGAAATAAGCATTTTGGGCGTATGTGTTTTAAATAACAGTTGTGCATACTCTTTGCTGGGTGGGTGCTCCCTTTCAATATTGTGCAAACTGGGGCAGAGGAAGTGCAGGGTGAGGGTCAGTGGCTAAGAAAAGAGTGGGAAAGAGGAAAGACAGCTCAGGGGAAGGTTAGCAAAGGGAAGAGGCAAAGCAAACTTCTCTCTGCCCTGACCCTTGTGTGATCAGGAACTCTGCCCTTGTCTCAGATATTTAATCCAAAAATTGGATTTCACTGAGGCTTTGAAGGTGACAACTATCCCTGATAGCCCAAGCATAAAGGAAAGCAGGAGTGCACTCCAGTCCTCCGAAAAGAAAATACCCAGCTTGCTCTCCGAGGTAACACCTTGAAAATGGCCTTAAGGATACAATCTTTGGCAAGTTAAAAACAAACTATTTGGGTTATTTTAGCTGCAATTACTTGGTTCTGTGCTGATTGTTCCTGGACAGAAACAATGATTTTTCATTTTAATTATTTTCAGTACATGCCTACAAAAGTCTATTTTGTAACTGTTGCATAAAATAAACCTAATCTATGGTTTTATTTTTATCCTAAAAAAATGTTGTGCCTTAACAATAGGGCATTGTATGTTAATAAGGGAAAACAAAAACTTTTTTTAACAGACGGGGAAAATAGGAACTTTTCGCCATTAAAATTTAAGTTCTTTTAAAATGTTTTTAATATTAGAGTTGGGAAAAACTCATTAAAGTTAAATAAAATTGATAAAAAATTATTTTTGCATAATCTAGCATTTACAACAAAAATACATTTTTATAACTGGCATCTATCTTGATACATAGGTTTGAAATAATACTTTATCCTCTGGTTTTTAGTTTCAATTAATATGAGACCAGGATAGATTACATTTTTAAAATTTTTACTTTGAAATCATTTTAGTATGCTATTATTATATGTTCTCCTAGTATTGAGTCACTTTGGTGGTAAAAAAATAGCTATTTATTCATTGTGCCATATCAGTAATTTATTAGTGTTCAAAAATACTGTATGTTGTATTACATAACAAACCAGAGCAGTTCCTAGGTGGAGAAGGGTTCTGATTACCAGTTACTATGCAGGCAAGAATTAAACTTTGTACTTCAAAAGGAGGTTTTGTTTTTGTTTTTTGAGGTGCCGGTTATGTAAGTTGTTGATTTTTATTTCCTCAAAGCCTGGCAGGTGTTTTCATTGCAATTTTTCATTGGTAAAGGCTTACAGGAAAGCTTTTTCTTTTGTTTAATTATTTTTAAAGTTTGGTGGTGAATTAATTCTGCAAGAAAATGAAATACAGTTTTCCTTTGAGATAATATACGCCAAACCTTCAGAAGTTAAGGATGGTGAATAAAAACATCTTGTTATATATGTGTGTGTAAGACTTCTCAAACTATTATAATTAAGGTAGTTTGTGTAATTACAAAAGCAGAAAACAATGTTTGATTATTATAATGTTCTGTTAAAATTCTCTTTGAGGTGTATGTTACACATAGTAAATTATTATTCAAGAAAGATTCTGTATTTTTTTTAAATAGGAAATAGAAATTACGAAGTCACCATTAGATCAATTAGTCTACAAAGACTTCATCTTTCTCCTTAAGATGAAGCCCTCTTCTTCATTTATGTCAAGTTGAAAAGAGAATATTTATGGGATTGAACTTACGTATAAAATATGGACTTCGAATTCATCTACCCTACGTCCACTGCTGGCAGTAGCTAAAGTTAGTTTCATAGTCTAACAGAAGAGACCGTGAGCTGCCATGGTGAACTCTGGTGCTGCTGGTGGCTTTTTCCCCCGTTTGCTGGTATTACTTGAGCTACTATAAGATGCATATACACAAGGGGTTGAATTTACACTAAAACTATGAAGTGGTGTTTCCAGTCTACGTTCCTGCCTCTTAAACTTTGTTTTTAATCACCCTCACTTTCTCTCAGTCTTTTTCATATAATGGGCTATCGGTGATGACAGGGATTAAAATAGTATCTTTGAATATCCTTTCCTCCTCACACATTTAAAGCTGTAGAGGAACCAGACCACTGCTGTTGCCAAGACATGCTTAGACACCAGCATTTACTTCGCATGCTGTACCCTGCCTCACCCACACTACCAAATTGAAGGGTAGAAAGGGGAGTCCCAACTTCAGACTTCAGTCTGCTGGGAAGAACTCTTCCTCTCTCCCTGTTTTTAGAGCATTTATGTTTGTTTTTTGTTTTGTTGTTGTTCCTTACCTATCACACTCATTTATTGGTGTGCTGTTGTAGACTTTTAAGGACAGGGATTATGTATCTTGGTGAATTTTGTTTCTACTTCAACCTTGGTAGCTAGCCCAATGTTTTGAACAAATTAGGTGCTTAATATATGTTGAAGTAAGTTAAATAAAGGGTAACTATTAGCATTAGTATTTCTCATGGCTCAGTTGTGTAAACTGGTTGCTTATTTTATTTCCTCTGCAAATATTTATGATTATCACCCCCCACACACACTAAATTACTTACTAAAGTTTTGCTTTGGATACTACCTCTCAGGCAGTTAGCTCTAGAAGATGTGATTGCCTCCAATGAAATGGTTATATCAAACTCTCTGCCCTTGAATATACTTTGCCAAACAAATTTGAATTTTCTGAATAAATTGGCCATGTCTGAAATGATGTGTTGCATCTGCTTTTTTTTTTCCGTTTTTTCTTTTACTGTGAGATTTTATAAATAAAATTTACCCTAAGTATACAATTCTAGGGGCATCAGATAACATTCACAATGTTGTACAACTGCCCCCACTATCCATTTGAAGAACCTGTTCATCGTCTCAAACTCTGTTCCCATTAAACAGTCACTGCTAATAAACCCTTCTCCAGCCCTGATAACACCTGCTTTTTGTCTCTGAATGCATCTACTTTTAAACTCCTAATTATATGGGATTTTGTCCTCTCTCACCATTTTTACAAAAGTCATGTTTGAGAATGGGTATATGTGACAAAAAATAGCTATTGCACAACTATAACTTGAATCCATTAGATTTTTTTTTTTTAAGAGAAAGAACAGAGCAGAAGACAAGAACAAAATTTTAGAAAGGTGGTAGTAGAAAAAGTACAATGAAAAAGATAACCAAGGCTTTTGTTTTCCTCAATCTTGCAGATGATGAGGGTCATCCAGATCCCTTAAGATGTTTTAGTTTTCAGTTTCTTCTGAGGATAAAACAAAGCAAACTTCGGAAGAGTAGGACCTTTCATTTTATCACTGGCAAAACTACACATCTCCACCTCTGCTGGGTTGCTTTTAGCTACAATGTTTTAAGTTCATTAGCTACACTTTTAAAATATAAAGTGGTATTCTTTCAGATGCTACATAATTTTTCTGAAATTTTGGTTGGTAGGCTTTCTGAGTATTGAAAAATTGTCAGTTTTGCAGATCAGCATTTTCCACTTAACAAAGTTGATTATAAAAATGACAGGGCAACATACAACATACTATAGTTTCAAGTGTACAACATAATGATCTGACATCTAAGTACCCTACAAAGTGCTCATCATAGGTCTTGTAACAATCTGTCACTGTACAAAGTTACTAAATGATATTCTTGACTATATGTCTTCTATGTCAACTATAATTTTTTTTTAAATGACAGAGTAGGAGAGACATGGGTTTGTGGGCTTGCTCTTTCTTTTCTTTTTTAAATCTTCCGAGGATATGTGTATTGATTTTAGAGAAAGAAGAAGGTAAGGGGGAGAGAGAGAGAGATCAATTGGTTGCCTCCCATGTAGGCCCTGACTGGGGATACATAACCTTTTAATATATGGGAAGATGTTCCAACCAACTGAGCCACCCAGCCAGGGCTATATGGGCTCGCTGTTAAAACTAGTGAGCCCTGTTCTGGCTGGGAATTTCTAAGTGGTTGATATTCTAGAATGTTCTACCACTCTTTCCAGATCCAGGTGTTCTCTTGGCTGCTTTTACGTATGAGGTCTTTCCAGAAAATATCCAGCCATGTACTATGAAAAAGACATCTATTGAAGAAGATAAAAGATACAAGAAACATTGTATATAGGACAATGATGCCTCAGTTGCATTCGAAGTAGGCATCTTAGGACCTCACAGAGTTTTCCCAGTCACCATCAGCTGTCCTGTCCTATTTTCCTGAATCTCATCAACCATTTGAAATCTCTTCCCTTTCCAAGGTGATTTTAGTTTTGGGAAAAGCCAGAAGTCACAGGCTGTAGGGGTGCTGGGTCACCTGGGTAACTAACTTGCTGTTTCACCAAAAAACTGCACAAGATGATCCATGAGTGGGTGTGTTGCAATGAAGCTGCCAATCACAAGTTGCCCATATCTGCAGCCATTTTTGTCATGTTGCATCTCTCAACTCAGAAGAACATGGGAATAGTACTTATTAATCATTTGGTCTAGACGGGCATGCTCATGATGGACAACACCTTCCCAATAAAAAAACAGTTAACAGGGTCTAATAGGGTCTTGATCTTAGTGCAATTTTGCTGTGCCTTCTTCAGGTGTGGAGAACCAGGCGATTTCCATTGGGGTGACTGGGTCCTCACTTCTGGATCATAGCCATAGACCCATGATTCGTTTCTGGTTATGACCTTCTTGAAGAAATCTGGTTCATTGGTGGTGGTTTGAATCAAGTCATTAGCACCAGGAGCACAATTTTCCTTCTGTAAGCAGATGCTGCAGAACAAATTTTACCATGACACATTTCATGCCAAGATCCTGCGTCAGAATCTCAGGTACAGTAGTTTTTGGAATCATCAGATCAGCTTCTAGTTCTTGCACAGTCAGTCGCCAGTCGTCGTCGATTGCAGCCTGTATACATTCAACAGTCAGGTGTTCTGCTTGATGCTGGCCTTTCAGAATGCGGATCACTTTCAACAGATTCTCAACCACTTTGAAGCATTTGTGCTGCACTTTTATTTGTGCTGCACTCATCGCATTGTCTCCAAAAGCCTTCTGAATTGTCTGAATAGTTTCTGTGGAGGTATGTTCAAGCTTAATGCAAAGTTTGATAGAGATGTTTTGCTCTACTCAGTCATTTTAAATGTGACGGCCACACAGTACACATGCTCAATGGCATCTACTGCCCCCACTGACCAATACAGTGATGTTGTCCTTGCTCATGCATGCACATTCCAGTCCATGCTCCTTGGCTGTTAGGTTACATTGATGTCGTGCAAACCATTGTTATATTAACAGTGGCTGAACTTTTCTGAACAGACCTTGTATAGGCAGCAGAAAATAGCTATTTGATTACCTGAAGAAGCAGATATCTTAGTGATGCTTTTCAGAACTCTGACATACATGATTTTACATTGTTTGAGTCCTTCCCAGTTTTGGGTTTGTGTTACTCTATAAATATACCTTAATGGACATCCTTATTGTAAGTGTTCAGCTCAGGAAGGGTAGTGTGTGAGTGCTGTATTTTGTTTATCTAGCTACTCTCCACATCTTTATTTAACAACTGGTAAGACAGAGAAAACTTAAATTCCTACCAACCACCTCAGATTCATTCCGTCTAACCAGAAAATATCAAGAGTTTCCATGATTTCTAGTGAGCTTTCTTCATAGTACATTTTAATTTCATGGAGTATTGGATGAGCTTTGTGGCCCTCGTGGGTACTTTTATCGCTATGCCATGTTCATATCCTGACATGAAAAAGATTTTTCTGTTCCTTGAAAACAACATAGGCTAGTGGCTTCATTTCTTATAGCCCTCATCTCCTCCATAGTAGGAGAGACTACTTACAGTCAAACATCTTGCACTGAAACAGGTTTTGTCATGGATTATGGGAAAAGTTGTACCTGGAAAAGTCAAGATCAAGGAAAATAAGGTGATCAAAAAGTAACAAAAAGAGCACAGTGTGTTTTCACCAATTATTTGAGGAAAGTAAGTGATGTGTATATGCAAGGGAGGAAAATTGGATTATGTGCATTTGAGGATTATTAGATAACCTAATTTGTGTGGCATTTTTACATTTCTTCTTTCAATCTCATTGAAAGCCCCTGAAGGGGAAGACAAATTCCCATTTTTAGAGATGGTCTCCCAACTGCCAAACTGCCAAGTGCCAGTGCCTGTCTGGCTTGGATTTTACTGTGGTTGATTAGTCCTTCCTGGAAACTGTCTTTACCCCTTTGATGTCAGGAACTTTATTATCTTCTGGTTTTCCTCTTACTTCTTTACTTCTTTGCAGTTTCTTTCCTGGATCCTGTGTACTGTCCATCCCTTCTATGCTTGTGTTCCTGAGGTTCCATTCATGGGCTCCATCAGCATATTCTCCCAGGGCAATTTTAAAACTACCCACTATGACTCATTGCTAATGACCCCAGCTTCATTAGTGCCCATTTAAAATTTCTTCTGTGCTCTAAAGCAGTGTTTCAAAATGCTTATCTTTTTTGTTTTTAGATTTTGTTTATTTATTTTTAGGGAGAGAGAAAGGGAGGGGGAAAGAGGGAGAGAAACATGAAAGTATGATTGCCCCTCACAGGCCCCCATCCGGGGCCTGGCCCACAACCCATGCATGTGCCCTGACTGGGAATTGAACCAGAGACCCTTTGGTTTGCACGTCAGCACTCAATCCACAGAGCCACACCAGCCAGGGCTCAAAATGCTTATTTTTAATTGAATATCCTGCATGCTCCTCAATGTAAGCATATTCAAATTGAAACTAATTATATTGGATTGGCCAAAAAGTTCATTTGTTTTTTTCCTGTAAGATGGCCCCAGTAGCACTTAATTGTCTTTAACTTCATTTGAAACAATTTTGATAAATTGTATTGTGATTGTTGTCATATCAGCATGCATTAAAAAAACATCAAAATTGGTGAAATGCTGTGTAGCCATTTTAATATTGAAGATGGAAGAAAATATGCATCAACTGAAATGGAAAAAAAAAAAAGATTTGTGCAGTGTATGACGAAGGTGCCGTGACTGATCAAATATGTCCAAAGTGGTTTGCAAAGTTTCATTCTGGAGATTTCTCTCTGGATTATGCTCCATGATCAGGTAGACCAGTTGAAGTTCACGGCAATGAAATCAAGGCATTAATGGAGAACGATCAATGTTATACCACAGGGGAGATACTCAGAATACCCAAATTAATAAACTTATTGGTGAAACTTAGAAATGTGTCTTTTATTTTATGGAAAAAACCTCATGGGCTTTTTGGCCAATGCAATTATCCTATACCTAACTCCTGGCAGTCTCCTTAGCTAAGGACATCAGTGTCCCAAAATACCCACAAACTAAAACCCAGAAATATTTTCATCATCTGTTTGGAATTGCCTTCCCCAGTTTTCACCCAATCTCAAGTACCTGTCAATATACCCACCAAATGTCTCATGAATCTGTCTTTCTTCCATTTCCACTAAGAAATGATAGACTCTATCATCAAATTGGTTTAAGTGACTTTAAAATTTATTGTAGGGGTGGAGCTAGAAATAATATTTTAAAAATTATAAACATAACACACGCTTACAAATAATATGGGTAAAACATAAACACAAAGCAAAAAATTAAAGCCGCCCCAATTCCACTACTCACAGGTACCCATGATATACACTTTTATGTACTTTTTTTAAATATTTTTTCCTCTATGGAAATATGGATTATTTATACATACTTTAACAGAAATATACTTACATA